AGATACACTGCAGAGCGGGGTCGCCTCTGCCATCATCCAAATTTGAACAAATGCTTTAGAGCTCTTGAGAGAGATGCCTTTAGGAACTGCAGAAAGAATATATTTCATAAAATATAGAAGGCGAGAGGATCTTATTACATCCAGAAAACAAACTTAATATGGTGACGTTTCAGTTCCGTCAGCTGTCCAATTGTCTCTCTCTTTTAAACTATACATGATAATTCAAAAGTGTCATGCCGATGTGTATTAATACAATTTTTGGAATTAAAAATGAAATTGATATTTTTTTCTAACAGAAAGTAGATATGATTAGGATGGTTTGACACTGAGGATAACTTTACCAATTGTATAACGTACTGGATATTTCCTTCCTTCCTTTTTCCCTTCTTCCATTTTTTTAAAAAATTAATATTTTAATTATTTTTAAAGCAAATTATACACAGAAGTTTTTTGTTTTTTTTTAAAAGCTCATATATTAAAACACCAATATATTCTTTCTGCCTTAACTTTTTCCTCCAGTGGTTGTCTTCCTCAGAGGCAACTGTTATTTGATTATTTTATATATTTATTTTAATATTTCCAATCTATATTTTACTAACCAATTTGTGTAAATTTTTATTTTTCATTTAGGTATTATTTTTTCACTTTTTAAATTATAGAAAATGATGATACTCTCTTAAACTGCTATTCTTCTTCTTTTTCTATTCATTCCTCTCTCTAAATAGTATTACACTATTTGGTTGAATTAATAATATTTAATTAATATGTCTTCACTTATTAATGAACTATGATTATGTTACCTTCCTTGTTTTTTGAAGTTATTAATGGCCTGCTTTCATATGCCTACTTTAATTTGTATCTTTTAGTAACAATTTCATAATTTTCAATTGTCTTTCAGCATAATTTTCCACATTACTAATCTAATCAAGTAATCTATCAGTTACAAATTATTATTATTATTATTATTATTATTATTATTATTATTTGGAACTTTCCATTTCTCCCTACCTGCATTGATCCATCACCAAGCCCTGCTGCATAGCTATTATCCTGGGATCTCATTCCCTATTCTTGAGGGACCCTTCCCCTCTCTCTTGAATTGGATCCCTACTCCATGATCATGTTTTCCTCTTTCGTGATTTTCTCTCTCTGATTTTGGTGATACAAATACCCCAGAAGATTCCTGATGAAGAGCACATGGAATAGCAAATTGCTTGGTCTTTATGGGTCTGTTTCTTCTTGATTCAGTCTTGGAAGATCGCATTTAGAATTTTTAGTCAGCTTCTCAGTCACTTCTTATAAATGAACAGATAGCCCCAGAACACATCGGAGAAAAAGGGACAAATACGTGCAAAAATTTAAACTAGACCATCTTCTTACACCATATACAAGAATACACTCAAAATGAATTAAAGACTTAAATGTAAGACTCAAACTATAAAACCCTTAGAAGAAAGCAAAGGCAGTAAACTCTGACATTTCTCTTAGCAAGATTTTTTTCTGATATATCTTCTGAGACAAGGGAAAGAAAAGAAAAAATAAACAAATGGAACTACCTCAAACTAAAAAGTGGTTGCCCAGCAAAGAATACTATCAACAAAACAAAAAGACAACCTACTGAATGGGGGAAGATATTCACCAGTGATACATCTGATAAAGGATTAATATCCAAAAGTGATAAGTAACTTGTACAACTCAATGCCCCTAAAACAAACAATCCAATTAAAAAGTGGATGGAGGACCTATATAGACACTTCTCCAAAGAGGACATGGAGATGGCCAATAGACATATGAAAAGAGATGCTCAGAGTTGCTAATCATCAGAGAAATGCAAATTAAAACCATGAGATATCTCATAGCTGTCAGAATGGCTGTCATAATAAATCAACAAACAAGTGTTGCTGAGGATGTGGAGAGAAGGGAACCCTCATGCCGTGTTAATGGGTTGTAAATTCGTGTGTCCACTATGGAAAACATGGAGGTTCCTCAAAAAATTAAAAATAGAACTGTGCTATGACTCAGAAATTCTGCTGCTGGGAGTATATACAAAGAAACCCAAAACTAATTTGAAAGAATATATGCACCTCTTTGTTCACTGCAACTTTATTTACAATATCCAAGATGTGAAAGCAACCAAGAGTCCATCAATAGACAAATGAATAAAAAGTAGTGATTCATATATACAATGCAATATTATTCATCCATAATAAAGTCTAAAATCTTACCATTTGCAACAGCATGGAGTAACCTAGAAAGTATTAAGCTGAGCAAAATAAGTCAGACAAATAAAGACAAATGCCATGTAATTTCACTTATACATGGAATCTAAAGAACAAAATAAACAAACAAACAAAATAAGGAACAGACTCATAGATAAAGAGAACAAACTGATGGTTGCCAGATATGAGGGGGGTTGGTGAAGCGGCTGAAAAAGGCAAAGGAATGAAGAACTGCGCATTGATAGTTACAGAGTAGTCAGGGGATGTAAGGCACAGCCTGGGGGATACAGTCATTAATACTGTAATAGCTACGCATGGTGCCAGGTGGGTACTTGAAATACCTAGGGGACCACTCTGTAAACTACACCATCATCTAACAACTGTGCTGTGTGCCTGAAACTAATACAAAATAATATTGAATGTAAACTGTAATTGAAAATGAAATTTAAAATAAAAAATAGGAAATTCTAAATATGAGGGTGCGGCTTGTTAACCTTGAGCTTTTCTGTTGGACGGTGTGGCTGTGTAATTTGTTAATGAACCACTAATATTAAGGTGTTAGATCTTTCTTCTGAAGCTAGTCAAATTTCCCTTAGAAAATTCATTCATTCTTTTGCCTGGTGGATAAAGGTCTTGCTGCTTTCGCCCTTGGAGCTGAGTGGGAAAGGTTATTGAGTGCTAGGAGAGTGGAAGTAGAACAAAGGATGCCACAGGAGACATAGATTGTCTTTATTTCATGACCCTCTCCCATTGTCTTCATTTTTGAGGTAACTGACTGCGTTTGCAAGGGTAGAATAGATTATTCATATTGGTAAAAAGCAAATTCCTATTTTCTATGACTTAGTATAACAAAGCTCTGCCATACATCATCCATATGGGGGGATCTAAGCTAAGGGAATCTCATTATTCATACTTTCATATTTGCCAAGGCAGAAGGGAAGGGAACATAGTGAAATACACTCCAGCCTTTAAAATGGCTTATCCTTACTTTAGAGGGTATGCGAGTACAATCTTACAACATGCCTGGGAAGAAAACCCAGAAATATTGGTGAACAGCACTAATGATTTTTTATCTTGCCGCTGATAGTTCCTCCTGGGTCTTTTCTGTATTCTGTATTGCCGATGGGTTTGTTCTGCAGCTTTTCCCTGCTGACTTAGGATTTTTCATTTTGAATGGGCTAAGCTGGTTACCAGTTGTTCGTTATGATGTTGCTGTTATCTTTTCTCCCATTCTTGCTGTTACTTGGAGTTATGTCTTAAAAAATAATTTTAGTTTTCTTGGAGTTTCAGAAAGGAGTGAAATTGGATGCATGTATATAGTCTCACATAGTTATCTGAAAAACTATGTTTATAGTTTTCTATGAATTGAATGAGCTAATTCTGCAATTTTACTGAAAATAATTTAAAGAATGTGATAAGGTAGATGTTTTATAAAAGTATTTTGTTATCAAGTTTGTATTGATGTGAACAACATTTTGATCTTATAGTTCTTTCTCTGTATATTGGATTTTAAAAAGTGTTTCTAAATGAAAGCAATTATAAGTAGTAGCAATTTGTAGAGTTTTAGAAAAGTCAGTTTGTTAAACTTCCCAGATCTAATATTTACTTAGGGATTTATTACTTACTTACAAATCCTTTTGCAAGTCATAAAGCTTCAAATCCTTTGCTTTTATCAAACTTAATAGAGCCACTAATTTAGTTGCTCGATCAGTTATCTGCCGTCCCAAAAATGTTGCCTAACAACCAACTATAAACTTCAGTGACAAACTTCATTTTGTTTGTTCCACACGTATTTTTCTCATGAGTCGGTAGGTTGCCTGGGCAGTTCTGCTAACAGAAGCTCGGCCTGGGTGATCCAGGCTGGGCATGCCCTGGCCTCTTTGGTCAGCTGTGAAAGTCCAGACAGCATGCCAGGGAAGGTGGGCCGGCTGCCGGCTAGGGTGTCCCAGCTGTACTCCAGGTGGTCTCCTATTTACTAGTAAGCTTTCTTGGATATCTCAGTCAGTTCTGGCTGCTGTAAAAGAATACCACAGATTGGTGGTTTAAACAACAAAATTTATCACAGTTCAGGAGGCTGGGAACTCCAAGAGCGGGCACTGACAGATTAAGTATCCAGTGAGAGCTTTTATTCCCAGTTTGCAAAGGGCTTCCTTCTCACATTGTCCTCACGCTTCTCAGAGCTTACTAAGCTGAAAGGGCCCATGGTAGATATTTATTAAACACCCAATTAATGAATAAATGATCCTTCCTGTATATAATGACATATCTCAGTTTCCAAACGAGAAGAGAGTGTGATGTAACAGCTGAGATCCGTGCCCCACTGAGATTCCTGCATGATTTCTTTTTTCAGGTGAGAGTCTCCCCAGTACCTTGTAGGGTTCAACAGAATCAAGCTATTCAATCAAATTATCCAAGAACTAGTCAGACAGTGATAAAGGAACGAGTGGCAAGTCCTTCCTTCACTTCACAGGGGCCTATTCCATGTCGTTATTAAAGAGAGGTGATTGACGATGACTAGAGATGCAGGTGATTGACGATGACTAGAGATGCAGGTGATTGACGATGACTAGAGATGTAGGTGATTGACGATGACTAGAGATGTAGGTGATTGACGATGACTAGAGATGTAGGTGACTGACGATGACTAGAGATGTAGGTGATTGACCATGACTAGAGATGTAGGTTCCCGGGAAAAGACTGGGTGTCCCGGAGAGGAAGTGTGTTCCCTGGAGGCCTTTACTGTGAGGTGACGCATCTGCCTTGCCTTTCTGACTGTTCCAGAACGCTGCGATGACTGGGGACTCGACACCATGCGGCAGATCCAGGTGTTTGAGGACGAGCCGGCTCGCATCAAGTGCCCGCTCTTTGAGCACTTCTTGAAATACAACTACAGCACAGCGCACTCGGCTGGCCTCACTCTGATCTGGTACTGGACCAGGCAGGACCGCGACCTCGAGGAGCCTATTAACTTCCGCCTGCCCGAGAACCGCATCAGCAAGGAGAAAGACGTGCTCTGGTTCCGGCCCACCCTCCTCAACGACACCGGCAACTACACCTGCATGTTAAGGTAGCCTGGCTTCTGGTGGTGACCTCTTCTTTTCCAATGAGTCCCGGGGCCTTGATCCAGATGATGCACGTGTGATGAAGCTGGGGAGGGGAAGGAAGCATCTAGAAAAAGTTAACGCTTCACCTCAGTGGCTTAGCTAAGCTTGGCTGGAAGATATGTGGTTGTGCTCCTGAGAACATTCTTCATAGGTGGCTCCTTTTCAAACCCTGACAAATATCAAGGTTGTCTAAAGGCAGAGCCTTGTTTATTTGTCCCCTTTGCCTGACATTGGAAGCTGCCTACACTTATGTCCCACCTAGAAGATCAATTCCTCTAGACAGGCAGGGCAGGGAGCAGAACCCATTTGTATCTGTTATTGTCATCTTTCAAAGTATCTGGCACAGAATAAAACCCTGAGTTGCCTTTTATAGGAGAAAGAATATTTGGGAGGCATCTAACGTATTTAGAACAGTGCTTTTCCAACACTTCTACCAACATGCCCGTAAGAAGCAAATGGACACTGTATCCCTGGGAATCTGAGAATATAATTCAGAGCACCCTATCATTAGGCAAATTTCTTTCAAGTCCACTTTTTTCTTAAGAGTTCATGCAAATTTTGCACTTTAGTGCACAATATACCTATTTTTATTTTACTACCAATTAATGTTTTTGTTCTGAAAAAAAAAATTTTTAAACCAAGGCCCCTCTGAAGAGTAATCATTTTAAAGCTTAGTTCTTTGGCGACTTCTTTTCTCCAAGCTTCCTTTTGGCTTCCAGTTTTTACTTTGTTTTTTAAATTTCCATCTGTGTTATGGAATTATTTTTTTTACATTGTTTCCTATTATTTAATAAGTGCATTGGTTTTCTAGGCCTATCATAACAAAATGCCACAGAGTGGGTGGGTTAAACAACAAAAATTTTGTGTTCTCACGGTTCCAGAGGCTAGAATTCCAGGATCTAGGTGCTGGTAGAGTTGGTTTCATTCATCTCTCCTTGGTTTGTAGGTAGCTGTATCCTCTGCATGTCTTCACATGGTCTCCCCTCTGTGTCTTCTATGTCCTAACCTCTTCTTCTAAGAACATCAGTCATATTGGATTAGGGCCTACCCATATGACAATAGGGCTAAATAATATAACAATACAATAATTTAGAATAACATAACAGTAGGTAATCCCAGACCTCCTTCTGAATGCCCCACATCACTCGTGAGTATTCCCTATTCTCTGATGGAGCATTAGGACTATGTTTGATAAATTTAAACTCTGTGATGATTAAGTGAAGAAGGACCTCTTATCTATCACAGAAACAAATTTTGATCACTATGGCTTTGGGAGTCCCAGAAACCTCTGAAGGCACTTCTGAGGCTTTTACATGACTGTTTAATTTTATTGCAGTGGACTCTAAACTGCTGTGTGGGCTTCTGAAGAGCCTGAAATAGTCATGTGTCCATTATTTATACCTCAATACTTTGTAGAAGAGGTTAGAAAATGTCTTAGTGGAAAGAGCTCTGGATGAGAAGACAGAAACCTAGGCTACCATCCCAGCTCTGCCACTACTTAGCTGGTGACCAAAGCCAAGTCAGTTCCTGCCTGAGAGCTTTGGAATCTATATCTGCAGGAGAACATTAGCCTACATGCTCTTTGAGCTCCTTTCTATCTTTGACAATTGTTAATTCATTAACATTCCCACGTGGATATTAGCAAACACCTGGGAAGGGGTCATCGATAGCTTTATGAGTGACCTTGGTCTCTACTATACATTCTAGTGCTTCATGCTCTTGTTTGAACTATGATAAACTAAGAGGAACATAACAGCAAGTGAACACAAGGAAATGCTCAAGGTGCTCAGAGAATTAGAGACCTAATTTGGGGTGCATGAAGGATTGCATGTAAGACCTTGTGAAAAGTGAGGTGATGTGATAAGAAGAGTCCTCCAGACGGACAAAACAACCTGTGCAAACATTAAAAACAAGTTTTACATGTTTGTTAGATTTTTCCTTCATGCTTGATTTTTTCATAGATATGTACAATAGCTTTGACTGGTTGTACCATAATTTTCATTACAATCTTCTTTTTTGTAGATTTTAAAATTTATTCCAGTGTTTTCTTTGCTGATATAGCACTGGATGGACGTTTTTGATCATGTGCTCTCCCTATTACCAATTTTCCATAATCCTATCATGTGAAAAATTTTCCAGAAATAAGATTACTAGGGCAAAGTTAAGGCATTTTTTAACGGTTTTAGAAACCATTTATTTTCTAAAGGTTGTTTATACCATTATTAGCCATGAGTTAATATGGGATACTCACCTTTGCCTTACCAGCACTGAATATTATTGAGAATGTTTTAAGGTAAAATTAAGTATACATATACATGCATACATACACACATATATATATACAAACACATATACATTTTTAGGAGCATATCTAAAAATATAAGTATTTTAGTATATCAATAGTAATTAATTGTGTCTGTTTTTATTCTGTGATATCAATTGATATAGGAAACACCTCCATAACATATTTAATTTTTACGTGAACTTGTACATATAAAGTCTTCATACATAGCATTACTTCAATTAGCTTATTTTAATGTATTTACTGCATTAAAACAAATGCAAATGAGTCTGCCCATTCATTGCATATTTCTCTTTTCAGGAACACCACATATTGCAGCAAAGTTGCATTTCCTCTGGAAGTTGTCCAAAAAGATAGCTGCTTCAATTCTACCATGAAAGTCCCAGTGCATAAACTATATATAGAATATGGTGTTCAGAAGATCACTTGTCCGAATACAGATGGATATTTTCCTTCCAGTGTCAAACCATCCGTCACTTGGTATATGGTAAGCAAATTGGATGACATTTTACCCTCTCTAAATGACAATAATTACTTGTTGAGTTAATGTAGAAACTGAGATTTTTCTAATCAGATTTTTAATATCTTATTTAGTGACTATACAAATCTTTTACTGCTTTCTCACCTTGTAACATTTTAAAAGAAGTGCTGGAGAACACATTGCCTCAACCCATCATTTCTTAAAGTGTATTCACTGAACTACTAAAACTACCTTATTTCTATTAACTCCCTATGAAATACAATTTTAGAGGTGTTGCCCACTTCCACTCTCTGCTCAGTGAAATCAGAAGCTGCTAATTCATCTGGTGCATTCAACTCCTTGACTAGTCAGTACTGTAATTTATTACTTGTATGTATTTTCATGTTTGCCCTCATTCGTAGACACAGTCCATCTGTGGTCTCTTTGATTAAACACTTTCCAAAATCCTATCCCAGGGCTTTGGTAAGTGTTTAATCAAAGATGATAGTGATAGTGTTGGAATGTGACACATGGGACAGCAGCATAGTTTTTTAATCTCTCCAAATATCCACATAAGCCAAAGCCAAAAACTCCAGGACAACATTTAAAACAAAACTCAGTGTTATCCACAACAATCACTTTCAATAAAACAAATAAGTCAAACCACCAACATGGCCCATATAAAATCGGTGTCTACAGGGAAAAGGAGTAGATGGATGTAATGTGGTATCTAGCAGACTAGGGAACAGAACCGCTCAAACGCCAATGGGTGCTCACTGGGAAGTCTGGTGAACCAATTTAAGAACAGCAGCCGCAAATGGGAAGGTGAGCCCAAGATGCCTAAAGTGAGAAATTCTGAAGGGTTTGGAGTTGTCCTAGTGCCTTGGAACTCAAACACCGCCACCCACGGGAGGAGAAGTGGCTGGGAGTGGAATCAGAAGGAGACAAATCAGGATACCAGGTGGGGCCAAAGTGAGTTTACAGGTGTGAGTATGAAAAAACACAGCGTATTCCTGTATTATTATTTATAGATTATTGTGTTATTTTTCCATACAAACAACTGTAAACCCACCTTTATCCAACTCTGCAGTGAGGGGGAGGGAGAGGATTGGAGTAGGACAGAGTCAGGAAATCTCAAGACCACACTTTTGAAGAGGAATCTCTGCGAAGTAAGAAAATCTTGCCAGATTATAAAACTCAGAAAAAACAAACAACTAGTTTCACATAAAAATGAGTAGCCAAAAGAATCAAGGTAAAACCCCCATTCAGAATTATAAGAAAAGGGAGACTAAGAAGCAGAATAACATTCTACAGAAAAAAAAGCACAGCAGAGGACATACTGTAACCCACTCTTACAAAAATGAGCTAAAAAATATGAACAAATGATGCAAAATCAAAAAGAATAACATAAATTAGAGTTACAAAAGTCCAGAAATTATAAAACTCAGTAAGAACTTAGAAGAGAGCCATTTTAGAAATGCAGCTAAACTAAGAGGAACATAACAGCAAATAAACACAATAGGTAATGCTTTAACATTAACAGGGGGAAGTGAGAAAAATATTTTAATCTATATTCAATGATGAGTAAAAATAAGAGGGGTAGAATGTATATACTTAAATCATGTAAAACAGATTTTAAGACAATGAGTATTATTAGAGATAAAGAGGACTTTTCAGAATAATAAAGGATCAACTCATCAGGAAGGCATAAATTAGAAAATTATGTGTCTAATAGTGTTTCAAAATGCATGAAGCAAAAGTTGACAGAAGTAAAGGACAAAATAGACAATTCCATAATCACAGTTGAAAATTTTAGCATCTGTCTCTACCTGTTTGAGTCATTGATGAAATGACTTAGGAGCCAACTTTAAGAGTTTTCCATTGGCCAAAATGGAACAATTTGATTTCAATAAGGATATTAATTATAATGGGTCAAATCCCATTAATTAAATTTAAATCTCTAAGTTCATAATGCTATTTTAAAATATTTAATTGCTGCCCGGCCAGGCGTGGCTCAGGATCCAGGCGATTGGGGTTCGATTCCCGGTCAGGGCACATGCCCGGGTTGCGGGCTCAATCCCCAGTCGAGGGCATGCAGGAGGCAGCCGATCAATGACTCTCTCATCATTGATGTTTCTATCTCTCTCTCCCCTCTCCTTTCCTCTCTCTGAAATCAATAAAGATATATTAAAAAATATATATTTAATTGCTTACATTTGGGTGATGATAGGAAATCAATTTGTTATCTTGAAAACTGGTAAATAAAGGGGGGAAAAATAAGTATTTATTCTGCCTTTCCTGTAAGAAATGTACACCAATTTATGAAATGGTGCAGAGAAATATGTTTGATAAAAATGTATAAAAACTTGTAACCCCCAATGATTAAATTAATAAATCTATGCATTAAGCATCAGTGACAGCTACCATCACAAGAATAGTAACAGTCAGACTTACTCCTTCTGATGTACAAATAATATCAATTATATTTGTGCCAAGTGGATTAAGCTTGTGGATACTGCTGCTATTTAGCAGGAAATGTAGAGAACAGAGGAATGTATTGATCTATACCACAAGTTTGTAGTCAGTAAAATCCAAACTGTGGAAAACTATATGCCAAATGCCTTGGGCCATTCAACAGAGAAATTATAAGAAAAATAAAGGCATGATATAGGAATGTATTAATTAAAAGAAACATATAAGACAAATTTAAAAATAGATGTGTTTATAGTGCCTAAGGATGTACATATAGTTGGTAAAAATTATAAATGAAAACAAGGAAGTTATTTTACTATGAATGCATAGTGGCTACTTTGGCGGGTAGTAAAAGAGCTGGGATTGACATAGGGCATGTGGAAGGTGACTGCAACGTTCTATTCCTGGACCTGAGTGGTGGTAACAAAGGCTTTGCTTTGTAATAATTCATTAAGTCATACAAATGTTTCAAGTGTTTTTTTATATATTGCATTTTATAATAAAATGATTAAGAAAAAAGGGAGGGAGGCAAGTAAGGAAGGAAAGAAAATTAGAGAGACCTAACATCAATAGCAAAGTAAGAACTTTGATCATGTTTTGTTGAAACAAACAATAAAACAAGTTATGAGAAAAGCAGGGAAATCTGAACAGAATATTAATATCAATTCATTATTATTTCTGTCTTAAATTGTAATAACAGCACTATAGTTATACTTGCAGAGGGGTTTTGTTATTTAGATATGCACAGAAATATTTACAAATGAAATTACACACTGTCTGTGATATGTTTCAAAATAATCTAGGGCTGCAGTGAGTAGGTATAGATGAAATAAGACAGCCTAAATTGGTACTTTTGAGACTAGGTATGGGTACAGGGTATCATTGTATATTCTCTCCATGATTGTAATTTTCATAGTAAAAAGCATAGGAAATGACTTTAAGAGTAATATTAACAGTTTTACATCATTACGTATAATATACCTTCTAGTTTAAAAAAAAATGTGTTCATCTAGTTATCAAGGTCTCTTATCTGTATTCACTTTTTCTATNTATACCTTCTAGTTTAAAAAAAAATGTGTTCATCTAGTTATCAAGGTCACTTATCTGTATTACTTATCTGTACTTTGTATACTCAATGGTCTGAAAAAAATTAATTTTATTTTCTTACCTATTCTATAATTTTCTCCCCTTCTTTGTTTTTCATGCATTACCCCTCCCTGGAATGTCCTCTTTTCTTCCTTTGGTACAGAAAATTCTATTGCCTCATGAAATGTTTCACGTTCTCTCCAGCTGAAAATAGTGTTTCCCTCATATAATCCCACAGCTATTGATTTATGCTTTTTCGTGTCACTCCTCACTTTATTGTTTCATAATCATTCACTCATGTAGGCATTCAACCCATATATGTTATAGATCAACTGTATACCATATTAGGGGTCTGGGGGAACACAGCAAGGAATGAGATATGTGTCCTGCCCTACATATTTCCAAAGGATCTTACAATGTAATTGGTAAGTTTATAAAGAAGAAGAATTCCTATTCTTATTGAAAAGTAGAATTCTGAGTTCCACAAGAGTGCCAAAGAGAATTTATTGTTGGTTTTAAGAATAGGGAAACATATATACATGCATCTACTCTATGAAATTGACTATTTCTTGAGGGCAAAATTATGCCATACCCATCTCTGTATTTCCAGCGATAGAGCTAACATTTATTGAGCACAGGAATTCTTCCAGATGCTTTAATTCTTTAACTTAATTCTCTCCACATGAGGTAAATTATCTTGTGTTCTCCATTTTATAGTTAAGAAAACTGAAGGGCAGAGCAATTGAGAGATGTGCCCAAGGTCCCAGAGTTAGGAGTCACGATTCAACCCTATGCAATCTGTATCCAGTCCATACTTTTACATCGCGATATATCATTTACTCAAAAGCAATCTAGCCGATAATGGGAGAATCTGGAATTTCAGGCCAGTTCTGTTTGGTTTCAAGCCTATACTCTCCAGAAATGAGACCGAGAGGGTGATCTAGTCTTTACCCCTGGAGCTTAGGACACTTTGAAGGGTGGGGTAGTCTTTGAACACAGGTTGGGCTGTAGACTGAACTGTGAAACTTAAGGAAACCTGTGGATAGAGGGCCCTGGGAAATCAGAGGGGCCTCAGAAAGAGTGAGATGGGAGGGAACAGAAAATCAAAATTGTTTGTCCTGGAACTGCAAGGGAATGAAGCAGGATTGCATTTTCCTCCTTGGCTTGTCTTCTCTTTCCTCCTCTCATTTGGATGGCAGGGCCCAGAATTCATAACACTCTAATTCAACAGTGCTGTGAGTTAAATTGATGTTCAGTAAATGTTTGTTGAATGAGCCAGGTTTTGTAACAAGCCTGGAGAGCAAACCATGGATTGTGATTTACTGAATTCCAAATAGCCACCTTATGAAAGAACACCCCATGTGTATAAATTGGAGGCTGCTTATTTATTCACATAGGGACTGTGGGGATACATAGAAGTAAAGACACAGCTGAGATCTTGTTGTTGTTTTTACTATTAGTATCAGATT